AATGGTATTGATTTTGACACCAAACAAAAATTACTGATTTTATTTCTTAACCATTTAATTTTAAAAAGCCCTCTTTGAATATGTCAAAAAATTGAGTTTCCATATTAATGTTTTATTTGTGTACATAATATTCTGAGAAAATGTGTATAGGTGACATCATGCTAATATGTTGGGGGTTTTTTTGTGTGAGTGTTTTTTAATCACTGTTTAATTTATTTTTTTTGGATACAAGCTTGCTCCTCTTCAGAAGTATCTGGTAGGCAACTACTTTTAATAAAACAAATGTTACCTTTAAACTTTTTATTTGGTTGTTTGCAAGTTGTTATGCTCCTCATAAGTTATATTTTATAAAATATACAGAGTTAGTAAAATATTTTAGTTGATAGAGGGAAGTGGTTTCGTTTTATGTTGAGTTGATCTATAGAAATGATTTATATTGCAGTTTTTTTTTAAATTTTTTTTTTTTTAAGATTTTATCCATCTATTTGAGAGAGAGAATGAGATAGCATGAGAGGGGGGAGGGTCAGAGAGAGAAGCAGACTCCCTGCTGATCAGGGAGCCTAACGTGGGACTCGATCCCGGGACTCCAGGATCATGACCTGAGCCGAAGGCAGTTGCCCAACCAACTGAGCCACCCAGGCGCCCCTATATTGCAGTTTCTTATGTGATATTTTAGAAACAACAAATATAACACTGTAAAGTAGTGGGAATTGTACAGGGTAGCAGAAGACAGATTAATGCACACCACTTAAATTAGATAACCCAGGTTAATGAATGGTTTTTTAAAGAAAATATAGTGTAAATTTGGAACAAAACAGCTAATATTTTAACTGGGTATTTACCCTAGAAAGTTTATAGTCTGTTTTGTTCTATTTTCTGATTGTTTCTCTTTACTTTTTCTGACATACATTAAATAAAAGTTTAATAAAGTTGTGTTTTTATTGTAAAAGATGTGTTAAAAAGGAAGGTGACATTTATCTCATTACAAAGAAACTGGAGAACTTAACATCAGAGTAGTTGTAATCTGTATAGGAATGGATTTCTAAATTCTTCTTACAAACCATCAATGACAACGTCTTTTAAGCATTGGATAATGGCATCCTATAATAATATGCTCTTTTTATAATATGCAGTAATGTAAGTATATTTAACACAGAATCCAAAAGTGCCAAATAAATACATTTACTAAATGTAATTAGTGAAACATTCTTATTCATTGTAGGATTATTTGCATAAGATGGAAGATATGCCATACTTGACTTTTTAATTAATTTTCCTAATGTTTAAAATGAACTTTGTAATCTAATTTTTAAGCTGTGTCCTGTGTATAAATATATTCAAAAATATTTTGAGGGAGATAAGAATTAAGTTTAGGGCGCCTGGGTGGCTCAGTTGGTTGGGCGACTGCCTTCGGCTCAGGTCATGATCCTGGAGTCCCGGGATCGAGTCCCGCATCGGGCTCCCTGCTCGGCAGGGAGTCTGCTTCTCCCTCTGACCCTCCCCCCTCTCATGCTCTCTGTCTCTCATTCTCTCTCTCTCAAATAAATAAATAAAATCTTTAAAAATAAAAAAAATTTTAAAAATTTTAAAAAAGAATTAAGTTTAGGAGTTTTGGAAACACATAAAAATTGTCACTTTGTTTCTTCTTTATCTCATGAATTTGGGTAAACATTCAGTCCTATTTGTAGGAATAGATTTCTTTGGTATGCTCATTTCTTTTGAATGCAATGTGATATCTTTAAATGATACAGATGGAAAAGAAAATAAATTTATTTGGAAACAATATATAATTGAAATCTATACTCCTAGAAAGAAATTGATTTAATTTTTGGTATGTCCTTTTCATTTTTTGTAGTACATTTTTGACCAGTACAGAACAAAATATATTTGCAGAAAAATTCTTCACTGAGATCTTTTCATAAGGAGAGTTACTAATCACCATTAGGTACTTAGTTACCCATAATCATGTAGCTAAGAAGTATTAGAGCCAATATTTTCTAACTCAGATATGCCAACCTCTAAAACTTAGGACTGTTTCAGGATATCACAGTGGTTTAAAATGGTTAAATATAGATATTGCATACATTTTAGGATACAACAAGAAAACCAAAAAATTTGAGAACTTCAAGTATATGCTTTATAGGGAACTCTGGATTGAATGTGCTGCAGTATTTGAATTTGGCTATCTCTCCTACCAGTTATTTTGTTAATTAGGTTGACACCTTATGTCAGTGGATATAAATTTTTTTAAAAACCAGAGAAAAACATTTAGAAAGTGAAATTCACCACTGTCTAAAAATAGTAAAAACCAAAGTGAATACATGGGGTTCTAGATTGCTTGCTAATGTTTTAGTTATTCATAACCCAGCATATTGTGAAATATTTTATTTCTGGTGTTTATATTTGTAAGATATATATTTTGGTTAACTTGTATTTTTATAGAGTTAACTGTGTTCATCTTTGCATCTAAACAGTGCACATATGAACTAGAGATTTTATGTATGTATATATACTTAGGTGACAAAGTGTTTCAGGAGTAGAGTTTAATTCATGGAACTATTTAATGACATTATAATTAATACTGATCCTTACTCTAGAAGGGAATCTCTTTATTTGTTGAAATAATTCACAAAATTTAATATCTTTGATTCCTATCCTTTTCTGATAATTTTCCTGTAAGACCTTTTTGAGAACTGTTACTGTCTATAATGTTACTTAGCAGTGAACTTGGAATATTGATGAGTACAGAGAATTTCCTGAATATCCTATTAGTGAATGAAATTAAGTAGTACCTGAAATTTTTCCTCTAGCTCAAACACCAAGCAGGAAGAAGGAAATTTTCTTTCAGTGTACCATCCTTGGCAAATGCTACTAGTCCTTCCTTTGACCAGTTACTTTTTTCTTAACTCCAGATCCACTTAGCAGGAAATGACAGGATAAGGTGAAACAGGATGTTAGGAATGTTTTTTGTTTTTTTGTTTTTCTTTGCCTGATTCTCTTCCTTGTCTCCAAATTATCTATACTCATGCAGGCATCTGGAAAGTTTATACCGCAACTTGATGTGCAAGTTCTATAAATAGAAGATAACCAAAAATATTTTTGAAAAGAAATGAGATGTATATTTTGAGAATCACAAGTTGTTGTTTCTTAAAAGCCACAGTTGCATTTAACAGGGAATTATGTTTTTAATTTATTTTAGCTGTCATCTCTAAGTCAATGCCATTGCAAATATGTCTGCTCCACGAGAAGAATAAATAAAATATAATACAATCTTCTAAAACCACTCTTCTTCAGTTGTAACTAGTACATTAAATTTTAGAAGTAGGATGACTTGAACCATCCTAAACTCAAAATGTAAGACTTTTCCGCCCCCAAATCCACCCCCAGGAAGAATTAGATCATATTTGCATAATTACGTGCAATTATTTGATTCATTGTTTTGGTGGTTGAGATTTTCATACAATGGGAAGATTCTAATTTTAAAAATTATTTTTCTCAAATTTTCTAAAATAGGTATTTTGAGAGTGTTTTACAGCAAAATACAAGTGACAGTTTATATGAAGTAGTAAAATAATGTCTTCAGAAATGAACACTCTAGTGTTACTTAAAAACTAATGTCTGCTCCTGGTGCTTATCATCACCATTTTGAAATCTCAAAACATTTAGAATGCCAACAGCCTTTTTTGGTTAGCCACAGTGTTTTGGCAAAGGTACTTTACAAAGGTAAAGGAGGAAATAATCATGTATATCTTAAAATGCCTCACTTTAATACCACTACATCATTAGATGATCTTATCAAAGAATTTGTGAGCCCCTCACTTCCACTATTAGCTTTGTCTTTTCTTTTTCTTCATTATCATCACTCTTAGTATTTCTGAAATAAATGCCAGTGTCCCACTCTAAGTTCATTTTGCCTAGCTTTTTACTATTTCAACACTATTTAAATTCTGTTGTCTTCTTTATTTATAGATTTAGGTATCAGAGAAATAGCGGGAACTTCCAAACAAAAAGAAATACTAAAATAAATGCTTCTTGAATTGCCAGGTTTTGCTCTCATACCTGACTATAGGAAGAAGAATGCATTTGTTAATACTGTCTTATCTCTGTAATCTTTTTCCTATTTGTTTTTAAACTCCTGAAGTCATTCTGTAAACAGAAGTCATTATGGCAACTTTGTGGAAAGAAAATGAAAAAGAGGAAACCTTTTAAATGATTCATCATTTAACAAATCTTAAAACTTCAAACCACAGTTTGATAATGTAGCTGTTATTGATCACTAGATAAACATTTGGTTTTGAATGCTTTACTTTCATGCACATTTTAAACTAGGCATTCAGGCATTTAGTCATTTAGCTTTGCTCCAAATTTAGAATAAGATTTTTAAGCTGTTTGGGTGTTTTGTTTTTGGTGTTTTGTTCTGTTTTGTTCTGTTTTGTTTTTAAGTCTTTGTGGGTATCCTCTAAGTATAGCCTGTATTTTTTCCTTTTCTCTCTACCATCAGTAGAGAAAACACAAATCTAATAACATAAATCCTTATACCTGAAAACAGCCTTTTATCAAAATCAGTTATATTTGAAATTCCACAAATCAACAAGTTCACATTCTCCAGATATCTTCAGTTCTTATATTTAATAGCTCTGTTAATACCACAGCTGGCTTATTTATAATCAATATTTTCTTCTAGATTGATTTCTAACTTTTTTACATTACTTTCAAGTATGTTTTCAGGAATGGCATTTTTATTATTAGATTTGAAATCATGAAAGTGATCTCCATATAGAAGAGTATTAGAGGGGAGTCTTAGAAATTTAAAAAAAATATTTGCTTCTTGTTTAGAGGAAGTAAATAGTCCTGTAGTTTATCATGGTTATGAATACACGTTTCTTGGTAACAATAGTTGACATAAGTCTGTGTTTTTAAAGTATATTTACATGTAATGTAATGTAAATATTCTTACAAGACAAAATTTGTTTTTGTTTTTGTTTCAATTATATTTTCAGTGAAAGAGTTTCTAGCCAAAGCCAAAGAAGACTTTCTTAAAAAATGGGAAAATCCTGCTCCGGTAAGGAATATTTAAAATTTTCTATAATTTAAAAGTTCTGTTATATAAAATCATGATTCTTGCCCAGGTAATTTACTACTTTAAAAACCGTAAAATAGCATTAAACTTTCAAGTCGCATTTTAAAAAGTAAGCTTAACATAGGAATTTTGCCATAATATTATAACATTATGTTTTGATTTGCTAACAAATAATTTTATGGGGCGCCTGGGTGGCTCAGTTGGTTAAGCGACTGCCTTCGGCTCAGGTCATGATCCTGGAGTCCCAGGATCGAGTCCCACATCGGGCTCCCTGCTCAGCAGGGGGTCTGCTCCTCCCTCTGACCCACTTCCCTCTCGTGCTCTCTGTCTCTCATTCTCTCTCTCAAATAAGTAAATAAAATATTTAAAAAAACAAAAAACAAATAATTTTATGTATACCTAAATTGGAGAAGAACCTAATTTCCATTACAATATATGATTATGTAAATTTTGATACTAATTATAAGCTGCTACAAACTCTTGATATTTTTAATGTATAGTAATTTTGATTTGTGCCTTTGATAGCATATTTGTTATTTTTATTAATTACAACAATAGGGATACTATTGTGCAGTTTCAAATTCTTAATCACAAATACTTGGCTATTGGCAACATACCAAGTACACAGGGATCCTTTTCCATAAACATTGGATGAGGTAAATTCTACATAACTTAAGTACTTTAAATTGTAACTGAGACCTAAAAACTGTGTATAAAAAGGGCCATTTATGTTTGCCAAAAAATCTCTTTTTGAAGTTATAAATAATTAATGAACTTTAATACTAGATTCAATTTTGAACATCTATTTTCCTACCACAAAAATTTTTATTTCAAGTATCTTTTTCATTAAAAAATATTTAATTCTAAGTATTATTTTTTATAAAGATACCATCATACCACCATTTTTTATAAAGATACTAAAATTAAAAGCATGACCTGTACTTTAAGACATTGTCTTACATGAAACATTGAGGAAGGTGAGGAAGATGGTACAATTGTAGGAAAAGCAATAACTAGCAAAAAGAGATGTTCTGTTTGTTGTCTAGTAAGTCTGTTTCCATTATGTACTTGGGAATTATATTAAACATTTCAATTGGTGTTGTTAAAACCAAAAAATTAAGCATTAATCCATAAAATTAAATAATTCCATCAGAATTATAAGAGCTTTTCCTTTCTACATTGATATAGAATTTCATAGCAATTTAAAATCATTAGAAATTTGAAACTAAATTTGATGAAACAAGTTTTATAACTTAGAGCTGCTTGCTCTCTCTGTAATGATTCAGCAAGAAATTATGCTGTCTCCAAAGGCAAGCTTTGATTTGTAATTGAGATTAAATCCAATGACAGTGAACTGCAGTAACTGTCCAGATTTTTTACTTATACAAGAATCACATTACATCACGTTTTTCTCAAGCTATAACACTGTACAGACTGACCCTTGCAAATATTTTTTTCCAAGATTTTCATGAAGATCTTTGTAATGAAACCTATTAAACAAATGGGTCAGCAATTACTACTTGTGGCTATTTAGCACATAATTTCTTCCCAGTAATTTTCATTTTGTTGTGGCAGCAACAAATTCAATAGATTGATGCCTCCAATTCTTTGCTTCTATGCTATAGTCAAAGCCAAACAAAGATGTTTGCTCATAACAAAGCATCTATTGAGGGAGAAAAAGAGACTGATTATTGTTCTGAGACTCTGACTTTCGGTTATCTTTGTGGGAATGAGGAACTCTTCTTTCCTTATTATTACTGTTTTAGGTAATACCAGGTTATTATAACATCAGAGAAAGAGCCATTAGGATCTTTCATGCTGTTATTATCTAGGCCTATAAGCTTGTATAAAGATAGAAATGAAGTAAGATAGCGCTTTCTTCAGAGGTATCCCTAGTGAAAGGACTCTAAAAAAAAAAAGAATTATTTGTGAGTACACTGAGACTATATGGCTTCCATGATTGTGTCAGTATACTGCTGGTCAGTTTGTAAATCTTAAAATATGAAACTTATTTATTAAAAGTCTAATACTAGGAATTCATATTGGAATTCATTATGACTTTTAATACTTCAGGTTAGGCTCTTATTTCCTCCCATTACTATTATGCTTTGTTTTGCAATATAATTCTCTTTTCAAATATTAGTTCATTTCTTATTCAAAGGGAAAAATAGAACCAATAACCTGGAATCTCAGTAGTCTTTTTGTATTGTTTTTAAATGGATAGTTTTAAGTGATCTCTTCTGATTATATATAACTAAATCTATTATAGTTACCGTAGTCTTATGAGAATTTCTAATTTTAAGTTTTATTTTATTTTTCATGTATGTGTAGAATAATGCCGGGCTGGAAGATTTTGAAAGGAAAAAAACCCTTGGAACAGGTTCATTTGGAAGAGTCATGTTGGTGAAACATAAAGCCACTGAACAGTATTATGCCATGAAGATCTTAGATAAGCAGAAGGTTAGTGTATTTGTCTTTATTTACCTGAAGGGTAAACTTCAGTTTTATCAGCTAGATTATTAAACAGATGCAATATAATGACTTTCCATTGATACCTTCAGATAATTTTATTGTTGCACTTAATTTCATCCTTATTTATTGTGACTATATGATACGTAGTTAATAGTTAAGTATATGGGGATACATTATTATTTCAATAATTATATTTATATAATAGGTATGTGTATGTTTACTAACAAAATACTGAATTCAACATGTAAAGAACAGGCATCTCTACTACATTCTGCCTTGTGGAAAATGTAGAGATCCGTTGTACTTGATCTTTAGATTGAGGTAACAAAAACTTGGTGATTTTATTTTATGACTTGTTTTGATTGACAGTAGAAGCCCTTTGTTTAATGTGATTGAGTTTGCTGAATTTAAAATGTCAGTTAAACCAGAAAAAAGTTGGAATAATAATATTATAAAAAATATCAAATGATGATATTGTATGCCTGAAACTTATAAATATAATGTTAGATGTCAGTTGTATCTCAGTAAAAAGACTAAATCATTTTGAAAAAAAAATTTATAAGTTTTTATCACATATTGGTATATCTATCTGATGAATCAGGATGTCTGAATTATTCATGGTTTAATTGTTAAACTTCCATTTTCCTGGTAATCATGTACAATTAAGGGAATGTGAAAGAAAAAGGGTAAATCTTGATATTAGATATTAGGTTCCCAAGAATAACATTTTGGCTTACTGGAATGTAGGAAAATGTGGGGTAAACAATACTGAGCTGGATGTGGAGTAAACGGTACTGAGCTAGTAGTCAGGGGTACAGATGGCTAGACTGATGCTGTCCAATAGAAATAGAATGTGCCACGTAAGTAATTTTAAATTTTTTAGTAGCCACATTTAAAAAGTAAAAAATAATAGTTGAAGTCAATCTTAATAGATTTTATTTAGCCCAGTGTATCTAAAATATTATCATTGCAACATGTAATTAACAAAAAACAGAGATATCTTACTTCCTTCATACTAAATCTTCAATATCTGATGTCTATATGACACTTATGGTATATCTCCATTCAGGTCAGCCACATTTCAAGTGTTAAATAACCACATGTAGCTAGTAGCTACTATGTTGGACAGCACAGCATTAGACTGGTCTGCAGTTCCAGTCCAAAATGCTTTAAAATAAAAAACAAATTTAACCTCCAACATGAAAAGAATAATGACTTAAATCTCTCTAAAATTAAATACACCCATACACACATTTAATTAATTAATACTGCCCTTTTTCATGTAACTTTTTTAACATGCTTCCTGAAAAAATAGTTTAATCACTCTGTCCACTAAGTCACTTCCTCTTAATTCTTTAACCCACAATAATTTAACTGTCTCCTTGTTTATCTCCTACCTCCTGCTACTCCACTGAAATGGCTCTATCACCAGTCCAGTGGCCTCATCAACAAAACCAGTGGGCTCTTTTTGCTCATCTTATATGACATTTTAGAGCCTCTGATTGTGCTGACCACTCCCTTGAAACTCTCTTGTCCCTGGAATTCTGTAACCCCTTGTTCTTCTAATTATGCTCGCCTTTCTGGGCTCTTCTTTTTTAGGTATCTTTTCCTATTATTTTTTCCTGTCTACTCTTTAAAGACCGTTAATTTCAATCTCTGGACTGTCCCCTTGTCTCGTTTTCATATTCTCCCTCTGGATTCTGTCCAAGCTTCAATTCATCCTTGAGCCTACACCCCTAATTTGTACAATCTGAGCACAGAGCTCTTAGAGACCGACTAGTCCTTGCTCTGATTTTCTAGATGAGGTCATTGGGTCTCAGAGAGAGTAAGTGACTTGTACACTTGTGTTGGTAGCACACAGAATACTTCAAAAGTTTGATTTGAATCAAATATTCTTTATTAAACCTGTCATTAAAATGTTATTGTCTGGATAGCCCCTAATATTTTGTTATCTTTCTTAAGGAATTAATATATGCTTTAGTCATAAAATATCAAAAGGGTTATACAACATGCCATTTTTATGTTTGAAGTATTTAGGGAAGAAGTTTTTAATTCCTTTTTTTTTTCTTGACAAGACAGTGACTTGTTAAGTAAATTACTGAGAAGGTTACCTCATAGATAAATCATGGCAAGAGAGTATTTGCCACCCTAAGTCATTTCTGCTATGGCAGTGTTCTGAATCTATTACAAAGACTTTATATTTTGAATTTTTTCAAGTTTATTTATTTGAATTTGACAAAGATAAGTAATAAAATAACACTCCATAATCACCTTCTTTTCTGTTAGTGAAGTCACACACCTTTCAATTTTGGCTTCTCCTATCTTAGGGTGTATGGGTTAACGGGAAGGAATCAGTACAGAAATTAAGGAAATCGCATTTCTTCATTACATACAATGTGTCAGGCATTGCTAGGAATTTTGTATTTACTGTATCAGTGAATCTTCACAATTTTGTGTGACATTAATCTCCCTTTTAAGCCAATGACCTTTCTATTTAAGTAGTTTTTCCAAAATCAAACAGGCTAGTAAGATAAACCAAGAATTTGACTAGGTTGGTCTGATTTCTGTGCCTATACTTCTTATTAATTTTTCCTTTAAAATGTATTTGTTACCCCTAAGATCCTTTCTACCACCACCTAGTTTGGTCCCTCATTAACATTAACTGGGCTTTCCCAGTAACATCTTAATTTCCACAACCCCAGACTTTTCACCTTCTATTAATTCCCTTCCTCACTGCCAAAAAAGTTTTTCTTACCATATCATATGATTTTTACTCACTCAAAAAGTTTCCTAATATTTATTCAATAAAAGCAGAACTCTGCATCCTACTTCCAAACTCTTCATAACTTTCTTCCATACTTTACCATAGTCTTATTTCACACTGTTCCCCTACAAATCCTCTATTCTCTACTTCTCTGATTGAAACTTGACCCCCAGGAGAATACAGTGCCATCTCTGTGGGCTGGGGGGAGTATGTGATGATATATAGCCCATCTTCCTTATCAAAAACTCCCCAAGTATTTGGCTAAAAAAAAATTAGCCAATAAGTAATCATTTGTAAATGCTTTTAAATATACATAAACCAACAGAAATATTAAGAAGTAAATATAAATTTTATATGAATGTTGAAAATAAAACATGGACTAAACTCCCAGGGTTACTTGTTATTTTTTTCTCTGCCATTTAGGGATATTTCATTACCAAATCTTGAGAAGCATTGTCCTAAGCTATTGTCAGATGAAACTAGCACTCAGACTGACCTTTGTGTATTTCCCCCTTCAAGTAATTGTTCGGGATATTAACCCTGACTACAGTATCTCCTCTCTCTTTTCCTAATCTTTGTTATCTATTCATCTGTAAGGCCCAGCTGAACTCTCACCCTTTTTAGTAGATTATAATAACAGTTGATATTTTTTTGAGCTTTTATTTTGTGCCAGGCATTGTGTTAATCACTTCACATGCATTATGCAACACAGTCACTTTTAAAGTAGGTATTATTATCAATGTTTTATAGATGAAGAATCTGGAATTAGAAAGATTATGTACTGGGCCTAACATAAACGTTTTCTTGTCTGAACACTTACAACATGATAACTCTCATTTGGCAACTATTTGCATATTAATATTCACATATTCATATACCATACTTCCAAAGAGATTTTATGCAGCATTAAGGCAGACACTTCATTGTCTTTATCTCAATTGTATTATTATGCCTTGTATGTAGTAGTATGCACATTTAAAAGTAAATTAGATTTTAATTAGTTAACTTTTTAAATTAACTTAAAAATTAACTAGGCATTTATGCTTTGCCAGTTCTTTTATCATATATATATCGTATATCATTTATTTCTATTTTTAATTGTTATGCCCTACATACACATAGTTGCCTTAGAGCTATAATGCAGAAAGCCTATCTATTGCAGTTTTTATTACTTCTTCAAAGGAAACACATTGTCAATGCCTAACTAAAAGGCTACTATATGATAATATACAGAAATAAACAATGTGTTACATCTAGACAATGAAATATTATTCAGCCCTCAAAAGAAATGAGCTATCAAGCCATGAAAAGACATGTAAGAACTTGAAATGCATATTACTAAGTGAAAGAAGCCAGTTTGAAAAGGCTACATACTCTATGATTCCAACTATATGACATTCTGGAAAAGGCAAAACTGTGAAGACAGTAAAAAAGATCAGTGATTGCCTGGGGTTAGTAGGAAGGAATGGATGATTAAGTGGAGCACAGAGAAATTTAAGGGCAGTGAAAAGTACTCAGTGTGGTATTATAATGGTGCACACATGTCATTATACATTTGTCCAAACCCACAGAATGTACAACACCAAGAGTAAACCCTAGCATAAACTATGGACTCTGGATGATAAAGATGTGTCAATGTAGGTTCATCACTTGTAACAAATGTACCACTCTGGTGGGGGGGATTTTGATAGTGGGGGAGGCTATGCCTGTGTGGGGAAGGGAGTCTCATGGAAAATCTCTGTATCTTTTGCTCAATTCTGTGAACCTGAAACAGCTAAAATTTAAAAAAAATTTTTTTAAGCCTATATATTTTTAAAAGTAAATACAAAGCAATAGTAATTTTCCAGCTAATGTTACATAATTTATTGTGATAAGTATGGACTAGTTAGTTCTGTAACTAGTTAGAATTTGGATGGAAGTGGTGCAGCCACTTCATATTACAGATAAAAAAAACCCTGAAATCCTAAGAGTTGAAATAACATCTCCAAAATCACGAAACTTCTTGATTAGAAGGCCTAGATTAGAATACAGATCTTCTGACTCTCAGTCAAGTAATCTTTGCTCAGTATTATTTTTATACTATAACTGTATATACTAATAACTGGATGGTATCTTTACCTTTCTTATTTATGTTCAACTTCTTCAACTCTGTGACTATCCCACACTGACAGTAAGCCTCTAGCAAGAAAGAATGCCACATTCTAATGACTTACACATATACTGGACAGTTATTTATATCTCCCTAAGGTCACCTTTTCTTAAATTAAAAATGGAATCACATGTGGGATAGAAACATAGTCTTCATGAAGATAAGTTGCTTTCCCCTGCTATGTATTAATTGAGTAGATAATCCAGAGGAAGCTTGATTAATCCTAAATGACCTATTTGTTATAAAGACGTAGTTGACAAACTGAGGGTTGCTGGAGTGGTGGGGTTGTGAGAGGGATGGGGTGGCTGGGTGATAGACATTGGGGAGGGTATGTGCTATGGTGAGTGCTGCAAATTGTGTAAGACTGATAAATCACAGACCTGTACCCCTGAAACAAATAATACATTATATGTTAAAAAAAAAAAAAAAAGATTGGAGAAAGGGAAAATGAAGGGGGGGAAATTAGAGGGGGAGACGAACCATGAGAGACTATAGACTGAGAAACAAGCTGAGGGTTTTAGAGGGGAGTGGGGTGGGGGGATGGGTTAGCCTGGTGATGGGTATTAAGGAGGGCAAGTATTGAATGGAGCACTGGGTGTTATACGCAAACAATCATGGAACACTACATCAAAAACTAATGATGTAATGTATGTTGACTAACATAACATAATAAAATAAAATTTTAAAAAATTAAAAAAAAAAAGACATAGTTGGTTTTTTGCCAGTATTTTGTGTGTCCTCTCTTGTGGCTGCACAAATTGAATTTTTAGAATTTAATCTTGTATTTATTCAGGTATTAGGAAATGAACAGATTGTTCATTTTTACCCACTGTTTTTCAATTATTGGCTTTTCTTCAGTCCTTAATTTCCTTGCTGATCTTCTGAAGACTTAAAATCAATACCTACTTATTGCAGTGATTTGTACCAACTACTTTAGTGTAATGACTATAGGTCATTAGGAGCTAAGCATTTTCACATACTAATTTTTTAAGTAATGTATTAGGAGTCTATTTCTTCTTAGCTTTTGCTTCTTGACTGAAAATCATAGTTGACCTTCTTTAGACCAAATTTTAATCTGTTGTTAGGTTTTTCATTTGAATCTGATAAACCTAGTTGGTAGTTAATATCACCTTATCCAACTTAGTGATTTTGCTTATCCAAGCTCATTATTACATGAGAAGCATTTTAAGTTTTTTCTTTTAAAATTATAGTAAATTTTAAATTCTGTTCAAGTACATTAAATATATTTATCTCTTAATCACAGGTTGTTAAACTGAAGCAAATAGAGCACACCTTGAATGAGAAAAGAATATTACAGGCGGTGAATTTTCCTTTTCTTGTTCGACTGGAGTACTCTTTTAAGGTAGAATTTACAGAATTCAAATAAAATATTTTTACCCTCATATATTTTTAAAAATATGAAACTATGATAGAATTCTAAGCCAGATGATAAACCTAGAGAATATGAATAAACAAAAAAGTAATATATTTAGATGTTATGTAATTAAATCTTACTGTGCTTACAAACTTAGGTTAACATTTGACAAGGTTTTGGTTCTCCATAGGGAAACTTTTAAAGGTAATGTGTAATTTTTCATGAGATGGTATTACAAATTCAAATATTTTCAATTTATCAAAATCCATAGAAATATCTTATTAAGCAGTTCTTAAACTCATGCAAATGAATGTGCCCACATACCCTCCCTTTTAAACCTTTTCTGATACAATCTTACCATCTTCTTTTCCATGTTAATTTGTTCTAGTCTTTCCATTTATATAAGGCAGAACAGTCTTTGGCCTTCCATTCAAGTGTCTCATAAAATTACACAAGATTTATTCTTGAAGTTGGCAGCTTCTCAGCTCTTTAGAATGATTCTTGGCATCTCTGCAATATTGATTCATATGAACCATTTTAACCTTTTTCCTTTTCCTCCTTTATTCTTTAAATCAGATGAACATCTGTGTATTTAGGATGATGTTAAAAATCATTAATCTCTCTGACCTAATTTAATACATAAAATGTTAACATTCTTACTTTTTCAAATTGTTATTTTAACTGTTACTCCTTTGCATACACTATAGCATTAAGTCATTGCCTCAGTGTCTAATTGTTCAAAAGTTAGTGTTCCCTGCAAGGACAGGAACAGCAAAAATCCCAGACTAATTTGTGGCAAGAAAACTAGGAGGAAAAAAAAATGAATTCCTCATTGTAGAAAAATTAGAGCCTCTTCCATTTATTCTCTCTTTCCCAATGTTAGTAATCTCTCGGGTGGATTTTTAAATTTGTCTTTTTCTAATTTAACATGGTGTTATCTTAAAATATTTTCTTGAAATAAGCTAGGTTTCATAATTTTGATTTATTCTTCTTTATTCATAGGATAATTCTAATTTATACATGGTTATGGAATATGTCCCTGGGGGTGAAATGTTTTCACATCTAAGAAGAATTGGAAGGTTCAGGTAACTAATATTTTATCCTCCTCAAATCTTTATATGCTGTGTGTTTGTTTAAAACCAAATTTTTAAGTTATTGTCAATGCTAAAAATTTATTTCATTTAATTTAGTAATATGTTAGCTATATGAAGAAATTATGTAGAAACATTAATAAGAGGCCACACCATACTAAGTTTTTTTTGTTTTTTTAAAGATTTTATTTATTTATTTGACAGAGAGAGACAGCGAGAGAGGGAACACAAGCAGGGGGAGTGGGAGAGGGAGAAGCAGGTTTCCCCCCGAGCAGGGAGCCCGATGCGGGGCTCCATCCCAGGACCCTGGGATCATGACCTGAGCCGAAGGCAGACGCTTAACGACTGAGCCACCCAGGCGCCCCCACACCATACTAAGTTTTAAAAATCAAATGAAAGGGGTGCCTGGGTGGCTCAGTTGGTTAAGCAACTGCCTTCGGCTCAGGTCATGATCTCAGGGTCCTGGGATCAAGCCCTGTATCGGGCTCCCTGCTCAGCAGGGAGTCTGCTTCTCCCTCTCCTTCTTTCTGCTCCCCCACCCCCCGCTCATGCGTACTTTCTCTCAAATAAATTTTAAAAATCTTAAAAATAAATAAAAATAAAATGAAAGCACCAATTACCATTGTAAATATTCTACCATTGGTAGGTATTATGAAGGTCCATTATTTAAAGAATTTTCAGAAGATGCAAAAATTTAATTTAAACATACTAATATTAATTGAACAAGTATTAATAATACAACTCTGGGGAAGAGGTTTGTGTAAAGATGAAGATAAGAAAGGGAGTACATAGAAAAGATAATAACAGGGGCGCCTGGGTGGCTCAGTTGGTTAGGCGACTGCCTTCGGCTCAGGTCATGATCCTGGAGTCCCGGGATCGAGTCCCGCATCGGGCTCCCTGCTTGGCAGGGGGTCTGCTTCTCCCTCTGATCCTCCTCCCTCTCATGCTCTCTATCTCTCATTCTCTCTCTCTCGAATAAATAAATAAAATCTTAAAAAAAAAAAAAAAAAGAAAAGATAATAACAGTACCATAGTGATGAGATTATGAAAGTTTGTTTCAAACAAATTTAATTCTTCTTAAAGTTGTTGCTATGTTGAGTTTTAAAAATATATATGTAATTTAAAGAGTTTGGGGCACCTGGGTGGCTCAATCGGTTAAGCATCTGCCTTCAGCTAAGGTCATGATCTCAGAGTCCTGAGATCGAGCCCCACATCAGGCTCCCTGCTCAGCGGGGAATCTCCTTCTCCCTCTCCCTCTGCCTGCTGCTTCCCCCTGCTTTTGCTGTCTCTCTCTCAAATAAAGAAATAAAATCTTTAAAATAAATAAAGAGTTTCTACCTTACATTAGGTTATTACTTACAAGGCTACACAGTTTTAAAAATAGATTCTGTTAACCTTACCTGTGTGTAATAGTTTGTAAGCTACTACTGTTTATTAGTAATCACTAATAGAATGAAGCTGAAACCCAGAGCAGGTCCAGCTTCATTTAGCACATTATGTGTTGGCATGATGAAAGCACGTGTCAGAGTTCAAACTGGGCTGATGATCGTAATCCGACTCGGAAAAAAGATGATGATAGACTCAGATCATCACAAGATCATATTCAATTATGGGCCAACATTAGAGTTATTTTAGTTACCTGAGGCCTAAGCCAAAATTCATTTATTGACCTAATATGATAAGGCACCTAATATGTATCAGGCACTGTGCTAATGCAGAGCAACTTCTGTTTATTTTTAATGATTCCTTTCACCTCCTGTTGTCCTCTTTCCTACTACTCTTATCCACACAGGCCCAGAATCCTCAGATTGCCCTATGATAATTCAGTTTTACACTGAAACACTACACCTAAACCTGGCTTCAAAAACTATTTTGTCCATTTTCTGTAATAACTAATTCCTTTCCTTTGCAACTCCCCACACTGGTATTTCTTTAATACTTGACTTGGTACTAGGAGGAAAAGCAAGTTGATTGCAATAATTCACACTGAGACACTGTCTTTTCTAATCTTTCACTCGTACTACATGTACACTTGAGAGGTTGCTAACTCCTATTTTAGAAACTTTGAGGAAACAAGAATACTGAGTTATTGTTGAGCATGGCTTTAACCAGAATCAGGGCAGTCACTATGAGTCTCTACTTAAACAGCAACTGTCTAGATTTAAAGCTGTTTCAGCATTAAGTCTTCCTACAGAATATTTTGCTTTCCTCTTTCAACAATTTGATTACAGATCTATGTAATGTTCATATTCCTCCACTCACATGTCAGTGTGTGGAAATAAATATAAAATGCTTAATGCATCTTATATTTGTTCTGATAAATTTGTATTTATTTATAAGTATAAGATGCTATGTGCATCTTGTATTTACAGATGCATGGAAAATTGGAGGGGACCTTCCAAGTCAAATACTTCCAAAGTTAGGGATATTTCAATGACAAGGATGATTCTTCCAATTTCCCTTTAAAATGTCCCTCCCCCATTCCTGTCATACAATGTATGATACAGATTTTACAGTCTTGAGGTGGGGCTAAAACTCTAAAGGTATTATAAAATATTTTCCCCTAAAAGTATTTTTCTTTACATACTCATTTACTCAACAAATATTTTCTTAGCATCTGATATGTATCAGGCTAGAACCTAGGAAATACAGTGACAAGTAAAAGGAGCAGCATATATAATCTTTTTTGGAAATTCTATTTCTGGTGCTATGAGATCAAATTAATGCCAGCCATCTTGAGGGAAATTCTATTCATAGTTCATGTTATTCACTGAGGACATAAATCTGAAAGTCATTGCAGTTTATCAGGCCAATTAGCAGAATTCATTGTGTATGCTAGAAGATGAAATAGAAACTCAAATTAGAAAATCAGTACATCCTTTGGAGTAATACTCAGAATGTGGCATCAACATTACACTGATCTATCAATTGATCTGATTTGTGCATACAAGAACTGGACATGTTTACACATACTGTTTACATCTATGTTTATATATCTGTGTAAACATGCATAGAAGATTTGGAAATTCAGACACTGGGATTGTATCTACGGTTTCTGGATAGGATTATGGGTGCTCTTTACTCTTCATCAATATTTTATGATTAATTTTTTAATGAGACTATATCATTTTTATAATAGGAATAGTCTGGGTGAAATGACATTAGTCTTCAGATTAATGCAGTTAAACAACTTCTGTGTAGTGAAATTCTTTAAGCACTTAAATTTGTGAGAAAGGCAGACAGAGCGTATCAAAAGTAACAGTGGCCTGATAGACAATGTAATTGACACATTTGCTCTTCAGTCATTCTCAAGGTCAGACATAATTATAAAGACATCAGTATCTTCTAATATGGCAAATAATAATTTAAAATAAGATGACTATTTTAGAGTTATGTTTTTCTTCAGTATGTGCTGCTTCCTAAGTATACTAAAAAGTATTATTTGAAGATAATTCAGAGGTTTAGTAGATACTCGGAAACTAACAAGATTCTTTATATATGTTCAAAAGAAAATTTTTTGCTTCCAAAATATCTCTACCCCATATTAAGTTTTTTACATAATCTATTAATTACCATGTGTGAACCCATTTTATAGAAAAATCCATGTTTTTTTCTTTGTAGTGAACCCCATGCACGGTTCTATGCAGCTCAGATAGTGCTAACATTCGAGTACCTCCATTCACTAGACCTCATCTACAGAGATCTAAAACCTGAAAATCTCTTAATTGACCATCAAGGGTATATCCAGGTATGACTTGAACACATTTATGTAATGTATTTGAGAAAATACTAGGTAAAAGTTGTATGTCTTTAACCTCAACTATCAATACTGGATTTTTTTTCTTTGAGCGAGACAATTACTTCTTCCTAATAGCTTAAATTGAGCTCATAGTTCTGCCACTATTACAGAGACCTAAAATCCCATCAAGAATAGAACCTGTTTATACCTCCCATGGTCTGTAGTTGTGGACGGAACACAGGATCCTACATACAGAAATATATAGAATAGCTAAATTTGTGAGCTCTCATTTGGTGCCAGGCATTATTCCAAGTGTTTTACATGTATCATCTTTTTTAGCCCTGATAACCTTATAACGTGTAAGTCCTGCTGTTATCCTCATTTTAAGGCTGACGACATTAAGGCAAGCAGGTCACACAGGCAGTAGAGTCAGAATTTGAACCCATTCTGTCTCTAGAGCCTATTACCCCTTAACACCACAGTGCAGCTGCCAAAGCGCCCTGGCTACCAGTACTCAACGAGTGGAGGTGTTTTCTTTCTGCTGCTTTTATCAGTAGAGTGAGAGCATTCCTATTTACAGTTATCAGTAGGTTCTCCTGTTGATACTTTTGCACTTCTGATGACATAATTCATGGCAGAGCATATGCTAGACTCAAGGACTACTTCTGGCACTGCTTCATTTTTCTTAAAACTATTTACTGTTACCTTTTTTGATGTTTATTTCTTTGAGTCAGGGAAAGTTCTCCAGAGTGAACCTTCATTCACTAATAGTGGCCGGCATGGATTAATCTCAATTATATTGACTTAATTTTTTTTCACGGTTTTAATTTAACCCTGATTTTTAACTTTCAATTTAGGTATGATAAATACGTTTATTGTGAACTAATGAATGTTCACAAGTTTGTTTGTTTGTTTTTTATAGGTTACAGACTTTGGGTTTGCCAAAAGAGTTAAAGGCAGAACTTGGACATTATGTGGTACTCCAGAATATTTGGCTCCAGAGATAATCCTCAGCAAGGTATATTTATAATGCCATTATGTAAGAAGTAAAAATATAAGGCATGCATCACTGTGGACTTTTACAAAAATAGTTTACTGATCTAATATTACACTTTTACCTAATCTAAATTACGAATTTATGTCTGTTTGATTACTAAAATAATAATTACTTACAGTCTACCACTAATCCAGTAACCTCTCAATTTTAACTCTGGATCTAAGAGAAATAGTATGGTAGAACATAGGAAATATAGTCAATAATATTGTGATACCTTTGTATTGTGGCACATGATAACTAGATTTATCGTGGTGACCATTTCATAATACATATAAAATGTTGAATCAGGGGCGCCTGGGTGGCTCAGTCGTTAAGCATCTGCCTTCGTCTCAGGTCATGATCTCAGGTTCCGGGATCGAGCCCCGCATCGGGCTCCCTGTTTGGCGGGGAGCCTGCTTCTCCCTCTCCCACTCCCCCCTGCTTGTGTTCCCTCTCTTGCTGTGTCTCTCTCTGTCAAATAAATAAATAAAATCTTTAAGAAAAATAAATAAATAAAATAAAATGTTGAATCACTCTATTGTCCACCTGCAAGTAATATTGTATGTCAACTATACTTCAAAAAAATAATGTGAATAAATCTAACCTCCAGATCCATATTTTTTTCTTCCAGTTTTACTGAGAATAACTGCCATATATCACTGTATAAGTTTAAGGCATACAATACCGCATGATGGTTTGATTTACATAGATTGTGGAATAGATTACCACCATATGTTTAATTAACATACATCATCTCATATAGATGTAGTAAAAAGAAAAGGAGAAAGTCCATGTTTTGAAAGCAAAATCATAGCCTTTTCATAATTATTCCCAGTAACAGGAAGGCGGGAAACCTTTGTGTGTGTTATCCCACAAGGCAAATGTAAAAATGATATGTACTAGTTCTCAATTCTTCTGTTCCAACTTTACCAATTAAATGAAAGAAATGTATGCAAATTTCTTTTTAGTTTAAAACAGGAATATTATAGCAATTGAATATAGTCTTTTTGAAGATAAGTTTTCAAAGCAGTGAAAATGTGGTGAGAGAAATTTGTATCATATCTAAAAGGATGGTTTCAGTTGTTTTCCTTCCCACTGCCATCCCTATGTGGGGAAAGCTAGAAAGGAGAAATTAACAATGACTGAACACAAATAGTGACAAGGAAAGAAAAATGGATAGCACACATGCCTTGATATTTACAAACTGGAAAACCACCCCTTGAATAATTGAAATTTGGCTAACCTATAGAAATATAAGAATAAAATAAATTACCTCATTCAACTTTCCTCTCGTTATCTATAATTTAAATCATCTATAACTTTTCAGTCTTTTGTAATCTTAAGTATCATTGCTGTTAACACATTTTTTTCTGTGAGAACACTTAACAATGTGATGACAGAATAAGCACCAAAACTTTAAAAAATGTGTATATATTGTAAAAGTAATAGATGTTCATTGCACAAAATTTGGAAAAGGCAGAGAAATAAAAAGAAACAACCAAAAAACCTATCATCTCACCATCCAGAGACAGCCTTTTTAAAAAAAAAAAATTTCAATATATTTTTCCATGCATGTTATCATAGTTGAGATATAGTGAATGTATAGTTTGTACTCAGCTTTTTACACTTGAATGATAACAAGCATGCAAACATCATTCTAATGGCTTGTTTGCAAATATATCAAAAAGTATTTTGCCATTCTTCTATTGCCAAATGTTCAGGACATTCCTTTTTCTTTTTCTTTTTTTGCTATTATAAATAACTGTAATAAACATAAACATTTTGTGCGTAAAGCTTTTTCTGCATTTCAAATTATTTTTCCAGGGCAGATTCCCAGAAGTAGAATTACTGGGACGAAGGGTATGAACATTTTTAAGTTTCTCCATAAATATTGCCAGAGTGCTTTTCAAAAAGATTGTAACATTTTACACTCTTTCTAGCAGTGTGAGAGTGACTGTTTAGTCACACTGTCTAGCATTAGATATTCTTATTTTTAAAATCATTACTAATAGGCAGTAAGTGATATTTTATAATTTTAAGTCTCATCTTTGGTTATTAGATTTTTTTAATGCTTTATAGACATTTGGTGGGTTTTAGGTATGTGTGTATCTGAATTATTAGTTCATGTCCTTTGCCCATTTATCTGTTGTAATTTAGTTTTTCTTACTGATTTAATTCTCTATACCTAGGGTATTAAAATCTGGTATAGTTTTTATAAACATTAACACAACAATCTCAAAAATAGAAATCAAAGTTTAATAAAAGGTTCTGGCTCAACATCACATGCCTTCATTATAGTAAAAATACTGTAATGAATGACATTAATCGTGAGTTGAATTAAAAGAGTTAAAGCAAAGTTGATGCCCATTTCTATTAGTGAAACAAAGTGCTATTCTTTTTATGCTAGTCTCCCTTTAAAAACACATAAAGAAAAAAAATCTCTATATTATAGTATATTTTACCTAATAATTTGAAAATTAAATAGTTTGTAAAGCTAAAATTAAAAAAGAAATTTGGAGTATGGGGAGTGGTGAGGGTAATTTGAGGGCAGAACAAAAGATGTGGCAAGAACTCAATTCTTCTCTCCATGATTGAGTTGGGTTTTTTTCCCCATAATCTTTTGTGCCAACTGACATTGATCATAATTGATAACAAACTTTATATAAACATGTTAATATTTTATTTTCTTATAAACACTGCTAGTTCTTAATTTTGGCAAGTTTAGTATGAGAGTAAAAAACAATTAAAAATAACCTTAGGATTGTACATTTGGGTTGTAGTGTACTTTCATGTACGTCATTTCCTTTTATTTGATAAAATGTGACCTGATATATTTTGTTCATTTTTTATTCTATCCTGAATACCTAGCTGCTCAGCAACTGCTCTTTAACAAATTTCATATGCTTGTAGATCATTTTGAAATCATCTGTGACTTCATTCTCTTCTGAGTAGATTAAGTAATAAATGATATTTTCTGCTGTTTATCTTAGGGCTACAATAAGGCAGTGGATTGGTGGGCATTAGGCGTGTTAATCTATGAAATGGCAGCGGGCTACCCCCCATTCTTTGCAGACCAACCAATTCAGATTTATGAAAAGATTGTTTCTGGAAAGGTAAGTAATACATTTTATTATTCCTCTGTCATTCATAATTTCTATAATGAGTAAGCTTTGTAGATTGACACCATTTAATGTCATGAGAATATTACCCTAAGTTGGGAAAAATACAAAAATATCCATAGTTGCTACCTTTGTATCTAGTGTTCATTTAAGATAACAAAATAAATATTAAATCATTGAAGTTTCTTATTTCTTTGTATCTCAGCCAGATTCACACTCGTGTGAAAGCTGACCTTCTGATCCGTGAACTTAAAATTTATAATATCACTTATTCAGAAGGTTCCCTGAATGTTCCTAATGTAGTAATTTATCTTTTTTACCGAAATCCAAATTTAAATCATGGATGCTGCATAGCTGGACTATAAGAACAAGACACCAATAGAATGAGTCCTATCCAGCCACCTAGAATCCACATATCAACACAGTATTGTTCCATATCTCACAGTGCAGATGTAGTCTACAGGGATCACAAGATTTTCAGTTATCCTTTACTTCATTTTATGGGGAAAGTTTTATTTTATGGCAGTATTCACAAATTAGGGGACTAACTAAAGAACTTATACTTCGGCAATGTCAAAAATAAAAAATAAATACTTCTTACAGATAACTAAGCAAGCTGTTGAAAGATTTACACTAAGGTAATACAGAAAGGCAGAATAGAATAGTTAAGTAATTAAGTATCACTGCTGTCAGGGAAATCCAAATCAAAACCTCAATGAGATACCACCTCACACCAGTCAGAATGGCTAAAATTAACAGGTCAGGAAACGACAGATGTTGGCAGGGATGCGGAGAAAGGGGAGCCCTCCTACACTGTTGGTGGGAATGCAAGCTGGTGCGGCCACTCTGGAAAACAGTATGGAGGTTCCTCAAAAAGTTGAAAATAGAGCTGCCCTATGACCCAGCAATTGCACTACTGGGTATTTACCCCAAAGATACAAATGTAGTGATCCGAAGGGGTATGTGCACCCCGATGTTTATAGCAGCAATGTCCACAATAGCGAAACTATGGAAAGAGCCAAGATGCCCATCGACAGATGAATGGATAAAAAAGATGTGGTATATATACACAATGGAATATTATGCAGCCATCAAAAGGAATGAACTCTTGCCATTTGCAACGACGTGGATGGAACTGGAAGGTATTATGCTGAGCGAAATAAGTCAATCAGAGAAAGACATGTATCATATGATCTCACTGATATGAGGAATTCTTAATCTCAGGAAACAAACTGAAGGTTGCTGGAGTGGTGGGGGTGGGAGGGATGGGGTGGCTGGGTGATAGATATTGGGGAGGGTATGTGCTATGGTGAGTGCTGTGAATTGTGTAAGACTGATGAATTACAGACCTGTATCTCTGAAACAAATAATACATTATATGTTAAAAAAAAAAAAAGAAGATAGTAGGAAGGGAGAAATGAAGGGGGATAAATCGGTGTGGGAGACGAACCATGAGAGACTATGGACTCTGAGGAACAAACTGAGGGTTCTAGAGGGGAAGGGGGTAGGGGGATGGGTTAGCCTGGTGATGGGTATTAAAGAGGGCATGTACTGAATGGAGCACTGGGTGTTATACGCAAACAATGAATCATGGAACACTATATCAAAAACTAATGATGTAATGTATGGTGATTAACATAATGAAATTAAAAATAAATAAAAATAAATAAATTTAGTAAAAAAAAAAAGGTATCACTGCTGTCCTTGTTACATTTGTAGATCTCTAGGCCTCAGGTTTCTTACCCTTGTTAATTGTTTTCACCCAGGAGAATATTAAAGTCCCTGTAAAAGAACTTTTGAGATAAATATCAAGAAAAATTAGTAGACAAGCCAGGTATTTATTTTTTAAGAATTTGAAAAGTAATTATGTAAAATCCCAAGAAAGAATAAGAACCAAAGATGATATGAAGAATGTTGAGAGAACTAAAATACTTTAAAATCACTGAATGAGAGAAGCATACAGTAGTCCACCCTTATCTGCAGTTCCAGTGGCCTGCAGTCAACTACGGTCCAGAGCAGGTGATCGTCCTTCTGAGGTATCATCAGAAGGTCAGTATTAGCCTCCCACTACGTCACACACCAACGTCATTCACCTCACTTCCTGTCCTCACGTAGGCCTGGTATCATGTCACGTCATCACAAGAGGGTGAGAGACATACAATAAGATCGTTTGATAGAGGGACAGACCCATGTAACTTTTATTACAGCAGCATAGTGTTACAGTGGTTCATTGTTGTTAGTCTCTTACTGTGCCTAATTCATAAATTATGCATTATCAGAAGTAGATTTACTTGGGAAAAGACAGCCAAAATTAAGAATGCAGAAATTACACTAATAGTTCCAAATAATTTAATTATAGATCATTACAAAGTTCCTGAATCTTTACTACATTGCTTTTATTTATCCTTAACTTTACAAAAGGAATAAAACTGTCTGACAAGGATGCCATCATAACTAAATTTCACTTACTTAGAAAAATTGCTTTATTTAAAATGAATGTATCTTCATTTGTATGAATTGGCCTTCATTGGCCAATCATTACATTGTCTAAAAAATTTTTTAACTGCTTATGAATATGTTTTCATTTCACATCAAACTTTAATAGGATACAATATTAACTTAATATTTAAATCTGCATATAGTCTAAAATCATAACTGTTTAAATCTGAGTCACCTTAACAACACCTTAGCAACATAAAATTTTATCTTATCACAGATATTTTTCTTCACTTATTTAAAAATAGGAGCGGATGTTTGGTGTACTATTGTTTTTAACTAAGGGTGCCAGATTATCTCTTCCCATATTGGATATAAAGTTATTTTCATCCCTTTTCCCTTTTGCTGCTAAAGTAGAACTCATGAAAGCAGAATATTGCCATTAAGTGATCTCTAAGATCTGTTTTATGTGAACATAAAGTCATGTGCACCATTCCCAATAAAACCATCTGTTTCAACACTCAAATCCAAACTAGGATGTATCTCTGTCTACCTTACAAAAGTATTATTATCTCTCTAGCTAGTAAATAAAAGTCAAATTGGAGACTAATATTTAAATTTTTTAATTACTCGAGTCATTAAAAATCAAATTATGGTCTTACAAATCCTGTATTTCTATTTAAAATCTTTAATGGTTTGAATGATACATCATTTAAAAACCAATGTTTCAATGAGAATTATTTTTTCTGATTTTTTAAAAGTGTGTTATTTTATGCAACATTTTATATTGATTACATTTTTCCATTCTGAAACCATGTTACAAAGATTATAGGTGTCAGTAACATCAAAGTTAAAATAAAATGTATTTAATGAAGTGATTAATTCACTGAAATACATACATTTGAAAATTAGATTAAGTACTTTCTCTATTACAATATTTTAACTGAGGTTGGTATTTTTAAATGCACAGAAAGATGATCAATCAGCTTGTTAGATTCTCTCCTACACATATTTTGCCTTTAAAAAAGGAGGAGGTGGTATTTTAAATGTCAAATTATTCATGCAATATCAAGGTTCAGGTTTAGAAATGCATAGTTGACAGAAAAGTCTTACAATTTTCGCATTATATTTGCCATATCCTAGCAATATATATGCTGAGTTTCTGTATATAGTCTAAATTTCATACTTCAGTGCCATATACTCCATGACAAGTATCAGTTATGGTTTCTACAGCAACTCTATCTGGTTGCATTACTCTTGGAATTATAAAAGTTGATATTGTGTTCAAAAATGATACTTGCAAATAAGGCAGTCAAGTAACAGCTGTTGTGGAAACCATAACTTTATAGTCCTTGACTTATATAATTAAAAAAATTCTGAGCTTCATTATAGATATAAAGTAAATATCATTCCATTTTTAGTGAGCACCAAAAATGTACAAGGAGACACTATACAAAATATAAAGTTGTAAACATACATATATATAGGATGATCAAAGAGGCAGTTCATTTATTCCTCAAGGGAAATTCACATTCACATGAAGGGTAATTGATTAGCGGTTAACTGGCTATTCCTTTTTTTGTCATGGGTCCCTAGAACCAATCCCAGGTTAGGTGATTCACTAGGAAGACTCACAAACTTCAGCATATAGTAATACTCAAGAAATTAATATCTTCTATTGTAACAAGTACCTTCATTATAAGGTACCTTATAACAAAAAGATATAAAGTAAAATCAGCAAAGGGAAAGGCTCATGGGGCAGTCTCTTGAGGAAACTAGGCAAAGTTTTCAAGAGTCTTCTCCCAGTTGAGTTACAAGGGATGAACTTAATTCTTTCAGCAACAAATTGTTATCTACCAGGGAAGCTCATTAGAGACTCAGAGCCCAAGGGTTTTATTGGGATCACATATACACCTTCTACTTAGTGCATACCTGCATCCCAAACTCACAGAGCAAAATAGATATTCAGCATAAGCCATATTGTTTGTACAAACAATCTAGGTACAGTGAACCACTCATATTATTTAGGGAAAGTTTCATATCAGTGTGAGGAACTGTTACCATGCCACTTCCCAGATAACCTGCCCAGGGCTAAACTTGCAAGCAGGCCTTCCTTAAGGGTAACAGTCCCAAACCTGCTACATTATCTCTTTTCTGCACAGATTCTATTTCCTAAATAATATACATATATGCAGAAATACCACTACACTTTTTCTAAGATGCCATTGTTAATGCTTTTGGGGAAATTTAAATGCCATTTACTATTTGTCTATGGCTATAGTTAAAGAAACTTAGAGAACTTGGTAGTCATTTCCATAAAATTCAAAAGCAGCTTTACCAATGCCTAAAACCCAGGCCATTTCTTAACACTTTGCTGTGGTCATTCAAAATTCTTCTTAATACTTTCTTTGAGACAGTCCTTACTCTAGTGGTCTTTTGGGCAAATGATGGCAACTTGTTTTGCAGTGGAGGGAATGAGGATCGGGTGGGTAATGGTCCTCTGTAACTACCACTCTTTCTGCATAGGTAAGAGAACAGACCAGAGAGCCCACAGTTGT